TTGATAAAAAATTATATATTTTTTAGTTTTGGGTGCCATATTCTACTGATGATGTGAGGGCGTGATCCCTGAGTTGAGGGGTCCATCAGATGTTTGGATGGCGATGGTCCCTCTGATCTGTTATGCGGCCGTCGAGTGACACTCCACTGATCGCGTGCTCCGACAGTTTGGTTGTTTTCAACCAATTCCGGAAGCACCTCGCAATATGGACGAGTTGTATAGCTTAGATAGACGCGACAAGACAGATACAGATTGGTTGGTGAGACATCATGAGTGGGTCGTGTTGTGGGAGGATCGACATCGGCGCCTTCCACGTAGAGAGCCCATTTTTACTAACTTCTTGATGTATGCTCAGGATTATTATGAGTGGTTCAACAGTAACGGGAAACCGTTTCTACTTCCCGAGGATGCACGAGGGTAGACCTTTCCACGAAGTCGACAGAGACGTTCACCGACACAGCACCATCGTCCCCCGACTCGTGGACGGAGAGCAGGTACTTCCGGTTCATCCTCAGCTGCACCAGCAACACCTTCACAGCAGCCACCGCAGCCATTTATGATGCCACAGCCATATATGATGCCGCCATCGCCTTTCCATTACCAGATGCCGCCACCACGGCCTTCACCTGGTTTTATGACCCCGCCGCCGCCGCCGCCACCATCACAGATGACCCCTCCTGGAGGCTATTATGGGTCTATGTTTGTAGATCCAACTTGGGGTTCATATGTTAGATATTATGTTGTTTTTCCTCTTCATTTTCGATACGCGAACCATCCAATTGCATCCATTTTCGCGTCGGGCACAGTAGCATACATATTTTTCGATCGTGGATCGGTTGATTCTGGACTGAACAGAATTACGGATATTGTAATTTTTTTATAGCCATCACCGCTTCTTCTTTGCTTAAGAACTCCATGCCTAAAGATAACTCATCATTATTTATTGATGAGTAATATCCATAGTCACCGAGATAAGACATATCCGCAAATTCTGGCCCGTACATTGCACCATAATCATCTTCATACATGTGTGTAGGAGGGTCAGTTTGTGCCACATTTCCTGAAACTTCATCATCATCAGAGTTGAATTGTGGTGATTCTGGGTGAATGAATAGTCCAGTCTCAGCACCATCCGCACCAGGCTCACGAAGCGGTTCTTCTGGTGGAGATGATGGTTCCTCCATGTTCTCCACATTTAGGTCAAAGAACCTACTACTTGCATGCATTCCCCTTGAACTGGAAGGCATATCGACATTGAGATCGAAAAAGCTCGCAGTCGAATGCCTCCCCCTGGAGCTTGAAGCCATCGTGTCAAATGGAAACTGCACAGATGGTTGCGTCGATGGCATCTCCATATGGTCAAAGAAATTTGCAGATGAATGCCTTCCCCTTGAACTGGATGCGGTGTTGCCATACGGATTGTTCGTTGACCCACCTCGATACATATCGTAAGGAGTTGCGGATGAATGTCTCCCCATTATAGTATTAAAATCATTACACATTACTGTAGTCGGGTTGTCAACTTGATCAACTTGTTCAGCCAGCCCATACTGTGAGCTTAAAGATTGACCCCGAACAGCACGCACTTGAACAAAATGTGCATACATCTTAATAGCGGCGTCTGAATAATTACTTTGAGCTTCAACCATCATTTGAACATCATCATTGTTCGAAAGTTCGAACGCTGTATAAGTTGGCAACAATGATGTTGGAAATCTGTACTGCAACGACGACATTCTTCTACTACTTCCAACATGAATCTTCCTCGAAATCTTCGTTATCAGCTCCTCAAGAGTTATGTTTCTCTTGAATGATATTTTAACACGCTCATTTGATACGAAAACAACGCCGGTTCATCTTCTCGAATTTCACCATCCTAATAAACAATAGCTGAAAGTCGCGCCATTTGAGTTTAAAAGTGCGACAATATTATATCTGTAAAAAAATAACTGAAACAAACCTGATTAAATAAATTATATAAACGAAAATATAACACAATAATTTTTTACACATCAACGTAAATAATTTAAATATATAATTTTATATTACTTGCACCGCAAAACTATTTCGACGTATGCTCCCGCTTTTTAATTTTACAAACATAAAAATTAATTGAAAATAATTAGTATAATATTTTTTTCAAATAATGATAATAAACAATAAGTATAATTAAAAAATTATAACAAAATTACCTTATAACGAAAAATCGCACGAACTTCAAATCAAATATGAGAAGATTGTCAGAATTATTACTCGTTGACGGGAATTGTTGTATTAATTTATAAGTTGAGAGGAGAGATGCGAGGAGATGTGAGAAACTTAACCTGCGGAGAAGGTATTTATAACCATATAAGCGACATACCTGCACCGCGCTATATGTAATTATTCAGATAAAAGATATAGCGCGGATCATGACCGCGTAAATATAATTCACCTCTACGTGGCGTATAGCGCGCCCCCTGATCCGCACTATACCCCTACGTGGCGTATAGCGCGGATCAGGGGGCGCGCTATACACAAATGTAATTCATGTCAGCGTATAACGGTGCAGGGGGGCGCTATACCCCACATGGCGCCAAATCAATATATAACGCGGTCAGAGGGTGCGCTTTACTGCTGCTACGGGTGTTAGATCAAAAAATTAATCTGACCGTGTTAGATCATAAATATACCGATCATCGGTAATTTTCGAGAAATCCACCTTTTTTTATAATGGATAATATTTCTTTTGAATTTTTATTAATGTAGTTGATTTCTTTTAGGTTTATTCCTGTCCTGATTTGATGTTTTGAGATCAATTGTTTATAATATTTTATATTTATGTATTTATTAAAATATAAAAGTACTATTCAAAAATCTTAACTGGATACGTTTTGAGTTTATTGAATTCAAATATTAAGAATCAAAGTCATAAATTTTGAATACAAAATTGTTGACCTCTGCATTTTTACATGATTGTGGGTAGAGGTGTTCACAAATACCAGATTTGGTTGACCCGATCCAAATTTAAAATGGATATTTTTTTAAAAATTTAGTCCACTGGGTTAGGTATTCGACCTGATATTTTTCTAGTTGGACCCGGGTCACAAAATTTTATTTTTTTCGGGTACCCAGTTATCCAAATATCCAATTATATATATATAATATATTATAATATTACATATTCAATTATTAATATTTTATATATTAAACTAAACTAATAAAATTAAAAAAAACCACCCACCCAATATTGTATGTTTAATAATTAATATAATATTCTTTAATAATATAAGTTTTATTTTTTAAATTAAAAGTTTTAAAATTTAAAATAGGGTATCGATTACCTGAATTACGGGTACCCATTAAATCCGACTATCTGGATACCAGCTACCCATAATATTCGGATCAAGACACAAGAAAAAAAATCTAATATCCGAAGATCCGGGTATAGGATTTGAACACCCCTAGGTGTGGGATTACTATTTATTCTCATAAAGTTGGTCAAAGTTTTCCACTAACTAACCGTTTGAATAAAGGTTTCTACTAAATGTATAACATGAACAAATATTATTTTTATTAAATAATCATAAAATATACAAACTATTAGTTGATTTAGTAGGACGAGATACAATATATCTTAATCAATGTATATATGTACGACGACATTAATATTTGATTTTAATCAAATCCTATTAAAACAAATCTGATCATGGTATATATATATATAGTGAGATTAGTGACGTGTTTTTCATATATTCTGTTGAAAATATTGTTCCAGTAAGCCTAAATGCCCTGAAAATTATGTACAAGCTAGTTGAATGAGTGAACTTCCATTGTAGCTTCATCTGCAGATTCATCTCTATTATCCTGGTTAGAATTTGATTTTCTTGAACATTGTTGACCTCGGGAGGATTAGTAACAGTGGCGACAGTCATCTCGGCAGTAGGCTGAACTCTCGATCTGGGTTATCACGAGAATGCGAAAGAAGCATCTTCGAACAAGCTTTCCGAACTTATGGTTCTCCGAAAAAAGCAAGGCTAAGAACACTATGACCGCGATGATGATAAATAGCCCGGCAAAGCTCCTTGAAGTAAGACTAGGACTAGCCGACGATACCGACCCGGTGTCGTCTAGATCGATGGACACTACGCCGAAGTACTTTTTCTCGATTGGAGCCATGTATTTTCCTTGTGTGAAATTCACGATTGCTCTCGAAAAATTCGCCACCAGCGACGACCCTACCGGTAATGCCTGAAATTAGAACAAAATACTAAGTAACACCTAACTTGATATTCCTGAAAACAATACATGTATAGGAAGATGAAATGAACATACAAATCCTAGTCCATCTGTTCTGTAGGTCGGACCGACTATCATGTAACCCGTAGTATACTGTGCGAGAAAGATTCTGATGTATGGAATTTCATCGTAGATGGCGCAAACTCCACCATTGTCGGATCCCTTTGACAACGCCTCCTGATAGTCATCAACTGAACCATATGGTTTCAGCATAGACTCCTCGAACCCAAAGTGGCTTATCAGGTAATCTTTTACAAATGAAAGATTCTGGTAACCAACATGACATCTTCTAAGTTCTGGATACTCGGGATCGTCGCCTGTAACTGATTGACCGTCAAGATTGAAGACAAGTTCGCCGTGTAACTCTGCATCAATATAAATGCCAGAAATATCCATACCACCAAGACCAACCTTGAGCAGTTGGTTACCACCATGTCCTGTTACCAAAAACAATGCTATTTGAATAATACATTTTATTTTCAATATGTTCCGAGTGAATTAATAGACATGGAAGATGCCACTTTACTTTGAGGAATTGCCACTGATAAGCATGGAAACATCAAAATTTCGCTGAGCTGCTTTCTAGTGATCCGTTAAAATCCGTATTTTTGCGACGCTCGAGAACCCGAACAACGATCCCGATGAGAGATGCAGATGCTGATGATTACCAACCATAGATCCCAGCTCAATGGCTTCAAGAATATCCATATGTCTTTTGGTCCATCATGGCTCATTTTATCAGCATTGCCACACAGACTCCAGATATGGAAGGGTAAAATCAACACAATTTGACCTGCTGGACACAATCGAGATGTCTCCACGGCAGCATGGATTTCCTGTAACATTTCACACCCAAAACTAAATTAGGTGATCACTTAGAAGATGGAAAGATAGAGAAATAGAACAAATTACCTTAGCATTAACTTTGCAACAAGTTCATCATATGTTCCATCCATGGTTTTAAATTCATAACCATTGGGAGGTAGGCCTAAGCTCTCCCACACAGCTTTGAAAACCTCAATGGTGAAACCTGGTTCGCGTTCGTCGACTTTCTTATCCCAAGGCTGTATGTTCACAAACTCTTTGAATCCACTCTTACTCGGAACCCCTATTATCCATTTGCTTTCGATCGATTCGTTTGCCTCAAGTGTTCTTCGGGTGTGTCTGGAGTTCGGATACAAGTTCTTAGATATTCCCCGGTCATGAGTGCAATATCCGATCATCCTCTGTCCTTTCTTGGTTACATTAAATATTTCAAAGACAGAAGGCTGAATCTGCCCATTCACCAACTCAAAATCCCCACTGATCCCTCTATAACTAGTGTTCAACATCCCCATTAACCAACTACCATTCATCTCCTTCAAGAAACAAGAATTCCGATTACAATTTCGTTCCACACTCATAGCTAATCCGTGAAATATATCGTAAACTCGCAAACCAAAAAGATTTAGCTCGGTCGCCTCCTTGTTCTGCATCATCATGGATAACCTTTTATATCTCGTTCTGAAGTTCTTAAGAGCTTTCGTGTTCGGCACGTAAGGCCTCAATCCTATCACACCCTCCATTGAATCAATAGCCACGTGATCCATGGCGTCTACAAAGGTCACAAGCCATGCAAATCCTTTGCTCATCAACCCCGCCTCGTTTGCAACCGCAAAGAAACGAGAGGCTAGGTCTGTCGACATGTGCATCACCACGAATACCGTACTTTGCAGGGTCATTAGCGGTTCAAGCTGTTTTAAAATTTGAGAACTTTGGGCTGAGGTTGGGATTGCAGTCCTGTGGGACAGTTGAATGCCATTGTTCTTTAATGCGTCGGCTAAATAGGGGATAATGGCGTTACTGAATTCCATGTCTTCGTATATAAATACGACTCGGTTCCATTCGAACATTTCCAAAGTAGAAACCGTAGCTTCTGCTAGGCGAGAGAAGCCGGTCGTTGATGTTCTGATCAGAAAAGGACTAGCAGATGGAGAAGAGCTGTCTCTAAGTTCTATGGCAAATGAGGCTTCAGCTGAGGCTTGTGGTAGATGTCCAACTGCATTTCCTAATTAAATTGTCAATTTAAATGAGATTCATTACTTGGTCAAGTGATAAAAATTATTTATACTATTTTATCTTACATAAACTCAAATATTAACATTTATTTTTCAAATATAATATTTTACTATGTAATAAAAAATTATCAATTTAAATGGAATAAATGGGAGGAGATGTGATAAATGAAGGTTTCTTTTCGGGAGGAAATAACTCTTTTTCTTTTGGTACAAAAAAAGTTTAGGTCAAGGTGTCTCCTTCAGTCTAAGGTCATGACATATCTAAGATCTAATTGAATTTTATATAAGAATTTACAGATTACACAGAAAAAATGACGGTTGGAGAATTTCAAATTCCTGAATCTCACCAAAAAAATTATATAAAAAATATTATGTCTTGGAGTATTATGTCAATATTTAATTATAAGTGGGGTAATAAAATGTTTTTTACGGAAGTTATTAATGTTGGATTTGAATATTGTGTATTGATTTTTAATTATATTATTTTAAAATTATATATAAGTAGGAAAATGTATAAATATTTTCATGATAATATTTTAATTCTTTGCTAAAGGTAGGGCATTTTGCTAATACAAAAGTTAGGGTTATTTTAAAAGGTGAAGTACGTACTAAAGGAAACGTTATAGTTATACTTTTATTTCTTTTTATATCATACGAGTTTTTATTATTAATTTTTTTATATATTTGTTATACCTTATTTTTGTTTAATGAAAACTTAATTTATTATTTTCCAAAAGAAAAAATCGATACTTCTTGTTAGAAAAATTATTACTTTACTGCCAACAATCTCTATTTTTTTTTTCCTCTAATTTGGATGATATTTCGTTGAAGAAATTTGTAATACTTACAATATTTTATATATGATTAAAATAATTAATTATCTAAGTTAATCTATTTAATTCTATCTAAATAGTTGATTTTAAAATTATTTTTTTAAAAACTTAATTATTCAGGTTAAACTTCATATGGATATCTATCTTAAATAATAGATAATTATTATAATAATTTAACTAAAGCTTGTTTTTAAAAATTATTTTGAAATGTCTATTATTAGTGTATTGCCGATCTTAAGTTGCACCGTGCCTTTATATATTATAGATAATTGTGTCTCAGATCCTGTACTTTTTACACATTCAAAATTTAATCCTTTCACTTTTAATCACTAGACATTAAACATTTATACTCTTTTAATTTAATAATTGAAATTTAATTAATATCACTATTGGAATACTTTTATTACATTTCATAATCTTCCATTTTTAAATTAAAAAAAATTGTGCATGTGACCAAGATTATACACATGAAATGTCAAATAAGCAAACGAAAGTGTATATATGCAACATAAATCCCTTCCATATCTTTTTCCCTTCCTAAGAAGAAGAAAAGGAAAGAAAGAAAAAAAAAAGATGCCACAATTTAAGACCAAAAGTATACAACTCATATATATATATATATATATATATATATATATATATATATATATGGGTAAACTACATATTTAGTACCCTAAGTATTTCTTTTGTTCTGTTTTGGTCACCTAATTATATTTGTTTCAACATTATACCTAATGTTACATTTTAGTTTCATTTTGGTCACTCATTAGTCACTATTAAATAATTAATGGTGATGTTGATGTGTCACCATAAGATAACATAACATCATCATTGATTTTTTTTTAAATATCACGTCAACAGTTTTGTTAAATTTTAACAGTGAGTGACCAAAATGAAATCAAAAAATAATATCGGTATTATTTTAAAATAAAAAGTAGTTGAATGATCAAAATAAAACAAAAATGATAGTTACAGTACTAAACATGTAGTTTACCATTACTATATATATGTATATAGATAAGTCAAAGGTTGAATTTGTGACATATTTTACCAATAATTTGGAGTAGAAAAAACCTCTTTTTTTTGTTTTATTACAAGGTGAATCATTTTGAACATTGTCTTCAAATATTTTATAAAGTAGGATGGATGTTATCATTTTACAAAGAACATCTAAAAATATAGTTAAAAAATATTATAAAATGTCACTAAATGAATAAATAACAAAAACCTCAACATATGCAACGTTCATTAAAACCTACAATATATAGAAGTCAGAATTTTGTTTGACAATAAATAGGTAATTAAAAAAAATTATAACCACGAACTTCAAATATAACCACTTTTCAACACTGTAACTTTTACACTGTAAAAAGTAGCAAGTTCCAAACTTACCTGGTGAAGGTGCAGCAAGCGAATCCCATGTTGGCGGAGACAATCTGGTACGGGAATTCTGGTGTTCGGCGTAAAAATCCGAAAGAGCCATCGACATGCATATATTCACCGTTTTCGAATCGACACCGATATTGTGCACCAACTTTAGACCGCCGGTGTCGGATTTTATGGCGGAGAAGAACGAAAAGAAGACGAGGAGAAGAAAGGAGAACCAGACGTGCTTCGGCATCGGGACAGAGGAGAACCGGACATGCATATACTCGCTGCTCTCGCTTTGCTGGTTATATAGACGCTGCTTAGTTGACTCCGAGCTAAACGTTGGTTTTGGTGTACGAAACAAGTAATAAAACAAAAGAGTTTTGAAAAGTCTTATATACACGCAAGATTTTATTCCAAAGCACGATCGAGGACGAAAACGATCATTAATAAAAAAATATAAACTAAATATTTACATTATATGAGAATTTTAAATCTTTAAGGATTGACTATTCCCTAATTCATATATTATAATTACAATTATTTATGCATGGGGTCTATAGATTCAAGCATACATAGTCATTGAAGTAAGAAGAGGAAGGCAGCTTCGTGGTGGTTTCGAGGAAAATAATGTTATAATTTCTGAATGTAATTAATATGTCTTCCCCATGGCATTATACTTCGGGAAGAAGAAATGAATAATTTTACAAGTATACACGTGCTCCATTTGTTAAAACCTAGCAGATCTAAGAATTTCTTAATTCTATTCTACACAATGGAAGAGATTTTCTTCAACTACATAATATCTACAGTGTGTAAAACTATAGATAAATATTAAATTAACTATAGATGAGTTGCAGGGGCCATTTCCCCTAAATGTTTAAATTTCAATTTTAGTCTCTTAATATTTAAACTTGTAATGTTAAGTTACTGATAGAATTGAATCTTGGCCTCTAAAATGATAGTTTTACAATTTAATATTATTAAAAATACTATAAACATTAACGAAAATAATGACATAAATTATATTTTAGCATTCTAAATTTTTATAGTATTATTGGTCCTTTGTATACATTTTGATATCCCTAATCACCTGTTCGATCTTTATTCTTTCACTTAATTCTGGAATAAATAATTGGAGCACCTGATACTGCGTTACTCAGAAATACATGAAATTGATTAAAATGTAAAATCAAAGGAAGGGAAAAATATTTTTAAATCAATAGGTAAAATTGAATTAAAATTAAGTTTAAAATATTTACCATGTATTTGTATAATATATTGTTAAAAGAACAGAATGAGAAATATTATAGTCTACTTTATATTTTTTATTTATTAATAACTAAAATAATTTTATAATTAACCAGAGTTTTATTATTCTTAATTAATATTATAAAATAAAAATTGTGAAAGGTAAAAAGAGATTAACTAATTATGAGTAATTATTTCGCAAAAAAAGTCAATAGAGATGAGTGATATTTTTCAAACTGTGAGGATTAAATGAAATTTGGTGCAGTTCCAAATAGAAAATATCTTTTACCATAACATAAATTATAAAAAATAGAAATAAAAATTCAAACATCAAAGAGAAGCCTCAGAATTGGCTATTGAAGTCCTTGCAACGAGAGGTATAGAATATCCCTCCAAGGCGAAATTTCAAGCAGCTGACTACGTTTTGTTCACCGGTTAAAGCACAGCACGTATTCTAGATTCTTACCATATGCTATTAATTCAATCTTAATTTAATTAGTATTTTAAAATTTATAAATTTAAATATAATAAAATATAATAAAAATATTCTAAGTCTGCACTATTTACTTGTATTAATAGAGGATCGCTTTGATATTTTATTAACTTTCAACAAAGTAAGCACCATTCATTAGTCCATAAATTGAGTTAACTCCTCTCATCCAAGGAATTTGCTGCACATATGGCCGGTGAGATAATCAATTAAACTATGTAAGAAAAATCTTAACAACTAATATATTATTTGAATCCCAGCAAAATCTGTACATGGATCTATTCCCTAGATTTGGTGGGTCGATGCGATTGGACTATTGACTCATTCTGCAATGGACCATATTTCTCTCACTTTTCAGTTTCTAATTCTTCTAATATTTTAAAATTCATTATTGTTTTGCATAATGCTAACAGAAGCCTTTAGTCTTTGTAAGTTTTTTAATTGCACCTTTAAAGTATTCTTTTAACAATTTAAACGACAATATGTCATTTCTTTCCGGTTAACGACACGGATGATCACTTATGTTTGTATTTTATACATTTTTTATCACCGATGTGATTACCATTTTTTAACCACAGGCTCGACCTAACTAAACCCGGAGCCCAAAACCCCATTTACAACATGCCCAATCGGGCCACCAATCCGACCCAATTTTAAACCGAACTCGGCCCCAAACTAAAACCCAAACCCGACCAAGCCCAAACCCGAATCAAACCTCACCCAAATCCAACCCGACCCGATCCGGGTCTACCCTAAGCTTTCCTCTGCCACCGTTCAATCCCCCCAATAAGCATCAACCCTTTCCTACCCCAATCGAAGAAAAACCAATCCAGCACACCACTTATGCCAACACTCCATCACCTGTAGAAACAAACAAGAAAAAAACAAGGTTGAATCATTTTAGTATGTAAAAAATGGGTATAAAGACCCGATTACAAATCATGTAAAAAACTCTCGGTTTGGAGAGATCCAGAAGCAATAAATAAGGTTTTTTTAATTCAAATAGCCCTTTTTTCTCTGTGTTTTTTTCTCGTGTTTTTGCTTTCGATTAGAATCACAGTAGAACAAATTTTTTTGAGTAATATTAAAATATATAGAATAACATAAATAGTTTTTTTTTATTTCGAACATAACAACCCAATCCAGCAGTTTTACAACCAAAATAAAACAAAAAAAATAAAAGGAGGTTAGATCAAAGGTTACCTAAGCCAGGCAGAGCATCGCCGGAGTCTGTGGTAGCCGAAGGGTTTCAGTATGATTTTGAGGGGTTTACGGTTATTTTAGGTGGTTTTAAGATTTAGGATAGATTCGGGGTGGGTAGATCTACGTTCAGTGAAATTTTAGGTGAGTTTCAAGTTTTTCAGCGACCGAAGGGGGCTCAAGGTGGCCGGCCTACTATCGGCCGGGGAAGGGGAAAGGATTTGAAGATTTTTTCCTTTTTTTTGGATTCGGTTGCAAATAAAAATTTGTTTTATTGCATTGTTTTTTTTAAACCTATGGCATTGTTCACTTATTAGAGAATTAATGGTATATCTCCCGCAAGTATGCTCATGGGATGACTACTGGTGATTCCTGAAATAGGTCGACATCCTTTTCAAAGTCCGCATCATGATTTTCTAAAAACGAGGCAATATTCGATTATGAGGCACAATAACTGATCTCCAGCATTTACGCTTGGGAGCGAATGCTATCGGTCTCAATAAACAAATATCTATTTCAACTTTGCATCCGTAATGGTTTTCAAATTAAATAAAGATCGAAACCAAAATTTCCGATTTTAAATATATGGTAATCAACTAAGTACCAATTTTTGGGCGCTTGTTAGGGTGCTAATCCTTCCCCATGCGTAACTGACTCTCGAATCCGATTTCTAGATTTTCGCATACCTTAAAACTTAGTATTTTGATAAAAATAAAATGTTTTATTAAAATCATCTGATTTTCACAATGTCACAATCACACCTTAAATGATTGGTGATGATTCCTCACATTTCGAAAAATCATTTTCAAAGAGAAAACCCCTGAGTCGGTATCGGTCTTTCCCCGCTCGGACGAAAAATGGTGTCGATAACTTATTTAAAAAAAAGATATGGTTACTTGCCGTTAACAGCAGTAAAATATTTTGATATAAACACACATTTAGTCCTTATTATTTATATATTCTCTCAATTAAAATATATTTAATCCTCCAATCGAATGACGCCATATGTCATGCCACGTGTCATCATTCGGTTGGAGGGCTAACTTTATTTTAATTTAATATATTTATTTACATCAATCAAAGATTGATATGTGTCACCCTCTCATTGAAAGAAAACAAATGAAAGTAAATTGGGACAAAAAAGATTCAAACCTTGGTCACTTAGGAAACTAAACATGCATCCAACCATTAAGCCAATACCATTGCTTGGTCTAAAGTAGACAACATGGTGTATATATTTTATATCTTAATGTTTAAATACTTAAATCCATAATATTTTATATATATTAACTTAAAAAATATTTTTATATTAACTTATTAAATATTTTTTATTATTAACTTAATTTAAAAATATTTTATTTTTTATTTTCATTTTAAAATATATATTTATGTTAAAATTTATTTAAAAGTATGACTAAATTGAGAATATGTAAATAACAAGGAACAAATGTGTGATTATACCAACTATCACGTCACATATTCTGTTAATTTTTAATAGCAGTTAACCCATGATGACCACATCTTAATTAAATAAAAACGAAAGTGATCGTATCTTAATTAAATAAAAACGAAAGTGATCATATCATATGTTTTTTAAAATCAATGACCAAAAGTGGACAAAATACAAACATAAGTGATCATCCGAGTAGTTAATCTTTTTAATATTCTCTTTTTGAACGGTCAACTACCAGTTAACATGATAAAATTTAAGGGCGCAACTGAAAAATAAGAAAACATTGAGTTCTTTTCAAAATTTTGCTTTTTCCCCCCTCTTAATATATAATTTTATTTTGAATGTGTAAGTTACTTTTATAATGTTATTTAAATATTTATAAAAAAAATTATCTTAATAAAAAAATCTTTTATTTTAAATGTCACTATATAGTTAAAATTATATTTGCTTATCATATAACATGCTGCACATGAATTTAAACTAATAAATACAAAATTTTATTGCATTCAAAATGGGTAAAAATATTATGTTATAAAAAAATTATTCAATGAATGATGATGACTAGAATGATAAAAGATTTGCACATAGATTTATTAATCTTGTGATCGATTATTAATTAGAATTTTGTAGTTATTTTACAAAATTATAAATCAAAAATGAAAAAAAAATATAATAGCAAAAAATCTTCTAAAACTGACTCAAAGTTTCAATTTTGCTAATTTGATCATTAATTGAATTGACTTAGAATTTTAATTTATCTCATGGTGTTAACTAAACCGAAAACAAGGAAATATTAATGAGTTGAAATGAAACAATTTCAGTTAATTCCGTTGTTTAATTAAATTAATCTTTTTTTTTAATTTTTTAACATGTACCAAATACCG